CCACCAGGGTTTCACTTCTCCCTGGCCTAACCTGTCAGGCCCTTCTGCCTGGATACTGATGACGCGTCACAGTTCTCACTCCCATTGGGTGTCGGGTTCGTACAGAAGCCAATCAGCGTCGCCGCGGTCACCGCTATACATGCACTCAGACCCGCCCGACTCAGACTGTCCCCGAGTCTCCAGAATGGGGCGATGGCGCCGCGCACCCTCCTCCCGCTGCTCACCGCCGCCCTGGCCCTGACCCAGACCCGCGGGGGTGAGTGCGGGGTCGGGAGGGAAACGGCCCAGCCGGGCGGCCCCGCCCCGCTCCGTGTCCACCCGAGCCCCGCGCCCCTGTCCGGGGTCTCACCCCTATCTTCCCCCAGGCTCGCACTCGCTGCGGTATTTCTACACCGCCGTGTCCCGGCCCGGCCTCGGGGAGCCCCGGTTCATCGCCGTCGGCTACGTGGACGACACGCAGTTCGTGCGCTTCGACAGCGACGCGGAGAATCCGAGGATGGAGCCGCGGGCGCCGTGGATGGAGCAGGAGGGGCCGGAGTACTGGGAGCGGGACACGCGGAACCACAAGGCACAGGCACAGACTTAGTGTGAGAACCTGCGGACCCTGCGCGGCTACTACAACCAGAGCGAGGACGGTGAGTGACCCCGAGTGACCCCGGGTCGGAGGTCGCGACCCCCTACGTCCCCACGGACGGCGCGATTCGCCCCGGGTCCCCAGGTCCGAGGTTCGGTCCGAGGCTGCGAGACCCGCGGGGACCCTCGACCCGGAAGAGCCGCGGGGCTTGAGGGGGGTTCGGTTTCTCTCGGGATCCGAACCCTCGGGTGGGCGGGGCCGCGTGGGCGGGGCTGACCGCGGGGGCGGGGCCAGGTTCTCACACCCTCCAGAGGATGTCTGGCTGTGATGTGGATTCCCACGGACGCCTCCTCCGCGGGTACTGGCAGTCCGCCTACGACGGCAAAGATTACATCGCCCTGAACGAGGACCTGCGCTCCTGGACCGCGGCGGACATGGCGGCTCAGATCACCAAGCGAAAGTGGGAGCACGCTGGGGACGCAGAGAACTGGAGGGCCTACCTGGAGGGGACGTGTGTGCAGTGGCTCCTCAGACACCTGGAGAACGGGAAGGAAACTCTGCAGCACGCAGGTAAGAGGGGCCGCGGGAAAATCCTCCATCTGCCTGGGACTGGGGCTCACGTCTCTGAGGAGGGAGGAAAATGGGATCAGCTGGGATTGTGCCTCTCTCTTGGGGTCGGAGGGTGTTGTGTGACAGTATTCCTGGGAGATGTGAACAAGTCTACCTACCCCAGATGGGGACCTGACAACAGACCTAAGTGGGGATACCACAGAATCTGATTAGGTGACCAGCAAGTTTATTGGGGTTACCTTAAAAGTGTGGTTGAGGGGTGACCTCCCAGAACTGAAATCAAAGACATTTACTTCACTAAAGCCTGTCCCACCTTAGTTGAGAGCTCACTAAAGATGGAAACCTGGGGTCACTGCACAACTTGCAGCAGCTAGACAGGCATGAGGACATGGGGTGCAGGGACTGAACAACTGCCCTCCTGGGGGTCTGTCCTCACAGGGACCTTTCCCTCTGACCTCTGAGAATCAGGTCCCCGTGTCCACAGTCCTCAGGGTGATGACTCTGCCCCTCACTTTCCATGTACTTTACAGAGCAATGTCAGCACACAGACCAGTCAGGAACGTTTGTGTGTGGGCGGGCCTTCCCATGAATGAGGGAGAGACACTTCTAGAAGAGAGAAAACCCAGACCCTGACCCTCCTTGTGTTTCTCCTCCCCTCCCTCTTCTTCATCCTCCTCCTCCTCCTCTTCCTCCTCCTCCTCTTCCTTACAACAGCCACCTCAAGCTCCCCTGTGACCATTGTCTCCTCCAGGCAGCTTGGCTGGTCTGTGGTCTCTCAGGTCCTTATAGAACATTGGTGAGGGAGGAGCCTAGTGAATCTGGTCAGGTTCAGGGAATTCATCAAGGTATGAGCTGTTTAATTCCTGAGTTTTATTCAGCTCCCCTGCAGGGTGGAATGTGTCACCTCCCTTCAGATCATCCTTGTCCCAATGCCCTTCCTTCCTTAATGATGGTTTATCTTGAAGGAATTTACTACACAACAGAGGGGTTGTGCTCCTGGGTTTCCTGGTCCAGCATCAGAGAGCGACTCCAGGAATTTGTACCCCTCCCCGACCCCAGTTCTCAAGTCTGTTCCCAGGATGGTCACATGAGCACTGCTGAGTCCCCAGGAAGAATACAAAATACCTGAACTTTACACCTGTTTCTCTCAGATCCCCCAAAGACACATATGACCCATCACCCCAGACCTGAAGGGGACGTCACCCTGAGGTGCTGGGCCCTGGGTTTCTACCCTGCTGACATCACCCTGACCTGGCAGAGGGATGGGGAGGACCTGACCCAGGACATGGAGCTTGTGGAGACCAGGCCTGCAGAGAATGGAAACTTCCAGAAGTGGGCAGCTGTGGTGGTCCCTTCCTTCTCCTTGGAGCTGTGATCATAGGAACTGTGGTGGCTGTTGTGAGGAGGATGAGGAGGAATACAGGTAGGGAGGGGCAGGGTCTGGGTTTTCTCTCTTCTTCTAGAAGTGTCTCTCCCTCCTCATGGGAAGCCCCGCCCACACACAAACTTTTCTGACTGGTCTGTGTGCTGACACTGCTCTGTAAAGTACATGGAAAGTGAGGGACAAAGTCATCACCCCCAGGACTGTGGACATGGGGACCTGATTCTCAGAGGTCAGAGGTCAGAGGAAAAGGTCCCTGTGAGGACAGACCCCCAGGAGGTCAGTTCTTCAGTCCCTGCGCCTCCTGTCCTCACACCTCCTGACCCTGCCCTGGATCTGCTGTCATAGTTCTGGAACATTCCTGGGGTCCAGGACTTCCTTGTTCTCACAGTTTTTCTTCTCACAGGTGGAAAAGGAGGGAGCTATGCTCAGGCTCCATGTCAGTGTAGGGAGAGGGAGGATCCCTGAGGCCCTTGGGGTGGCGATGGAGCCCATGGGCAGGCAGCATCCCATAATCCCTCCTCCACCTCATCCTCTCTGGCTCTGTGTCTTATTTCTTCTCTGCGGGAGGTGACACTTCCCAGAGCTCTGACCTGTCTCTGGATGCTTGTAAAGGTGACATGTAAGGGCCTGGGTTGGGGATGGACAAAGGGGACAGGACTGGGTCACAGGGACTCTCAGAGTTTGGACCTTTGAGTGAGTGGTGGGTGTTGGTGGTGGTGTCTTTATAGACTGTTCATGACTCTTGTTCTTCAGCTTGAGACAGCTGCCCTGTGGGACTGAGGAACAGGAGGTGTGTTCAAGTCTCTCCCTCTGACTTCAAGAACCCTGGATTCTCTTTGGTGGCAGTGTCTGAAGATGTCTGCTTTCTCCTGTGTGCATTGTGAAGACCTGGGGAGACTAGTCCAGCCCTGCCCAGCAGGACCCCTGTCCCTGCTCTGTCCTGTGTTCCCTTCCACAGCCAGACTTCCTGTTCCAGCACAGGGGGGCGGGGACGTCTCCATCCTGTCAGCTCCATGCTGCCCTGAGCTGCCTCGTCTCATTTCCCACTGAAAGTAAGAATCTGAACATTAACCTAATTGTTCAAAGCAATGGTCTGTAAGAATGAAGAAATAAATGACAGTCTTGAGAACCTTCTGGAATCTGTGTTTGCTATCCGGTAGTGTCAGAGGGACAGGAGGAGGCTGTGGGAGCCCAGTGTGGACAGGGCTGTGCCCAGCCAGAGCTCAGTCCATTGTGGACTTTGACGTGGTCACTCCTCAGCTCTGTCACCTCCTGGGTTCTTTTGTCCTCGTCACTTAGTAGGACCACATGCTGACAGTGTGTGGTCACAGGATGATGTGCAGCAAGGGCTCCTGTGTCCAGGTCAGCCTGGTCCGGCCTGGTGCGGCCTCAGCCCCATCCTCTGTGTGTTTCTTGTCCCGTGGTTTCTGTGGAGGACGAGGCCTGTTCCTGTTCCTGCAGATGCTGCTGCTCTCACTGTCCTTTGGGTCCCCGAGTGTGACAGCAATCGGAGGTGGTTTTCCTGTCGTTGTCCCCACCAGACTCAACAAGGCCCTGCACCCGGGAGACTGTAGATGGAGGAGATGAATGTCAGACCCCTGAGCTCCCTCCCTCCACGGCTGTCTCCTGAGTTTCTCATTTCCCTGATCTTTCCGGATGGAACAGTGGGATCAGCAGAGAGGACGGATGCACAGTGTCTCATTGGATCAGGTCCTGTTGGAACTGTGTTCTCTGCTTCCCTCCCCTGACCTCTTCCTGGTATCCTGGTGCTGCTCCAACGGCAGCTGGGGCCCTACAGACAGTGTCCAGTGTAGGTGCGTATTTAGTTAGAAAATGCATCAGTCAGTCAAGGACAGAAGGAAGGGGGACAGGGAGGACAGGGCTGTGGGAAAAGCTCAGGTGACTCTTGGCTCAGGGTGACAGCGACTTGTGCTCAGCTGCCACAGAGCAGCATCTGGCCTAAGTTTGCATTAATGAAGGCAGATGCCTAGAAAAGGGAGGTGACTGTGGGAATTGTTCTCTGGGTTAAAACACTCCTGCTAGGAGGAGGAGAGATGACTCAGCGGTTAACAGCACTGATTGCTCTTGCAGAGGATCTGAATTCGTTTCCCAGCACCCACATGGAGGGTCATCTGGCTGTAACTCTCCAGTGTCCTCACAGTGCGGTACTTAGAGTGTGGTTATCACAAACCGGCCCTCACAGCGTGGTCCTCACAGTGTGGTGTTCTTAGCGTGGTCGTCCATGTGCAGGACTCAGTCCGGTCTCACACTGTGGTCTTCACGTCTAGTCCCCACCATGAGGTCCTCAAAGGGTGTCCTCACCCCGGTCCTCTCACTGCTGTATACACAGTGTGTCCTCACCCCTGGTCCTCTCACTGCTGTATACACAGTGTGTCCTCACCCCGGTCCTCTCACTGCTGTACACAGAGTGTGTCCTCACCCCTGGTCCTCTCACTGCTGTACACACAGTGTGTCCTCACCCCGGTCCTCTCACTGCTGTACACACAGTGTGTCCTCACCCCAGTCCTCATACTAGCCGTACACACAGTGTGTCCTCACCCCTGGTCCTCTCACTGCTGTACACACAGTGTGTCCTCACAATCTAGTCCACATGGTGCTTTCCTCAGTGTGGACTTCATGGTCTGATCTGCACAGTGTGGTACCCTCAGTCTGGCCTTGCACAGTGGGCCTCACATTACTGCCCTGCCAGCCTGGTCCTCGCAGTGTGGTCATCACCGCGGGTGCCTTACAGTGTGGTGCTCAGTGTGGCCATCACTGTACAGTGCTGACACCCCAGTCCTCACAGTGTTCTCTCAGTGTGGGCCACAGAGCGTGTCTTCACATTCTGCTCCTCACACAGTGTTCTTCACGCAGTGCTCCTCACACAGTGCTCCTCACAGAATACTCCTCACACAGTGCTCCTCACAGAATACTCCTCACACAGTGCTCCTCACAGGTCTTCCCACACTGTGGGCCTTACAGTCTGGTCCTCACCATGTGGATGTCACATTGTTATCTTCACGGTCTAGTCCTCAGAGTCTACAGTCTTCATAGTGTTCTTCACAGTGAGATCCTCACAGACTTGTCCTCACTGTGTGGCACTCACAGTTGTTATCTCCCAGTGGGATCCACATAGTCTGGCCCTCGCAGTCTGGTCCTATGTGAAGAACAGCATGGTCCTCACACTGTGATCCTCTGTGGTCCTCACACTCTGGTCCTCACAGT